AAAACAACACAATGAATGACTAAATAAAATAACTAAACATTAAAGTTAAAAACATCCTATTATAGCCTAAGTTTAGGAAAATAAATACAATCTACCTTATTCATGTGTCATGGTCTTGAGTTGCGATGACGTCGTCAACCGTACAGGGATGCCTTGCTTTTACCTGAAGTAGAAGTAGAAATAGCATGTGGCTTGAGTATTTTAAGAAATACTTAGTAAGTGACCCACTATTGGGCTTAAACACATACAATCACGAGTGGTAACTATCATAACAGTTTATTTTCCTACGGCAGCTATCGTAACGGGCAATTTGGATGTGTACTTAATTTTCTTACACATGGTCCACAAGTACTAGTATGGACCCACCAGTCGGTTCACACACCTCTTGGGCCCCTTTCTGGTTGGACAAGCATTTTCAGGTAGTTGTTGATGTCGAACACTCATTCAGAATAGCGACCGTCACGACAGACTTATGATAACATAATGATCGTTCCCCTACCTTGTAGTGAACGTGTCTGTACTATTGTGAAGGATAAGGGGTATCCCCCAATACATGAGCACACAATAATACATGGGGTCTCAACATTTTTCCATTTTAATTATCATTTAATACAACACTGCTAGCATTTTCCTTCTTATCATATCATTTTTCATATAATTTCTCATATCATTTATCATATAATTTTTCGTAACATTTATCACATCTTTCATGCATATGTCGGAGTTGTATTTGATGCTAGTTCGTCGTTTTGCATATCAATTACAACATATCAATCATATGACATAAATCTGCCCTATCATAACGTTTCCATATTTTCAGGCATAACTGTAACGACCCTAAAGTTCTACATATCTAGAGTCGCCATTGACGTCTCATGCTCATCTCTAATGCAGAATAGAAATCTAAGAATGCTCATCTTTATTAGCGGGAAAAATTTAAAACTTCAGAATACATTTAAACATTGGAAAACACTGCCGGACTTACGTGTTTCAAACATCGTGCTGGAGTTCAAAAAGATAAAATAAAACGATTACAAATTAATTAATATAAATGAATGAAATGCAAACGCCCTATCCTAACCAAGACTAGGAATTAAATATGCAATTATCCTATGCACGCGCCACAGTCTCTGATCACGATGCCACCGTCAACCGTACATGGGCGCCTTGCCTTTACCTGAAAAACAATATGGCACACGGCCTGTAAGTGACCCCACTATAGGGGCCATGCTAATGCAAACACATGCAATCATGAATAGGAACCTATTTCTAATCATCTTAGGGGTGGCCTCTAGCCTCGGACAAATTGGATGTGTAGTACTTCCCTACACACGACTCACACGTGCGAGTGTGAGTCCCCAGGGCGCTCGCACACCCCCTGGACCCTCTGGTCAAGCTAATCTGTAGCGACGTCCGGAGGTCAGCGGAACCCCATAGTGTCATGCGCCTCATGAACACCCTCATCTATGTGCTTTCGCACCTGTGCGCATTCGCGCTCATCATAAGGTGCGCGTCCGCACTCATCATCTCTAGGGGAAGTAGCCCTATGCTTATGAACATACAAAATGCATGTGATCCCTCTAAATCCATCGTAATGTCTCTTCTGACACAACCCTCTAGTATCATCTCTTTGTTACTCTAGGTAACGCATACTCGTGGATATTTATATTAATATCATTTTCATGCTCTTAGGGTTGTGTCCTACGTCGATCTAACGACATGATGCAATATGGCACACATAATCATCTAGCATGCTCAATATGGAAAACATCATCATATTAAGGTAAAAATCATGCAATCATCATGCTCATCATAATGCCACAATGTGCGTCAAACATATCAAGCGTCACTCAACAAAATATGCATATACTGGCCCATATCATCAAGCATCATACAATTTATTTAGCCTATCCTATAGTAAGGCCACTTACTTGGTTGGCCTTGGCCGAAGTACCCCCTAAATAACTAAACGTAAGCTCCCGTTCCGTGAGAGCTGCTTCCTACGTCCCCGGGGTTTGTTTCTTATCACACCGTCCACCACTTTCCGTTAGTATTTCACAATTAATTTACCTATAATTTAATAAATGTGAAATACGGCTCTAAAACGGCCTCGGATACCTTAATCGGGGCCGAAAACAATTTCGGTGGGTCGGAACAGTGGAAACCGGGCTGAAAACAGGTGAGCCGAGCCGAACAGCCGCTGGAGCCGCCGAAGCATTGCCGGAGGGAGCCCGAGCCGTTTGCGCCGAGCCAAGCTGAGGGACTGCCTGCGTCGCTGTGTGACACGTGGCAGCAGCAAAGAGAGCCACGTCGGGCGGTAGTGTCGGGTCGAAGCGCAGGTCGCAGTTCGGTTCGGGTCGTGGTTCGGGTCGCGGGCTATTGAAGGCTACTGGGCCAAGACTAATCGTTGGGCCTCGGCTTATTGGGCTGGGCCACAAGTGTTTGGTTTGCAGGCCGACTCAATTGGACCGTGGGTCTAGTATGGGTTGGTTCAACTGAACCGTAGCTTCTGGGCCGGTTTGAGGTTTGGGCCGCTGTAGTTGGGCTGGGCCGAAGGCAGAGGCCAAGGGAGGAACGGGCTGGCTCTCTCGGGTTTTGGGTTCGGGTTGACCCGGATCCGTGGATCTCGTCTTCCTTACCCGACTTCGGCCGATTTTCTGGCGAGCTTTCTCTCTCCTTCCCGCGACGTTTCCGTTGCCGATTTCGGTTCTCTTCCTTCCCTTTTCCTCTTTGTTCGTCGTCCTTCTTTCTTTTCTGGGAGTTTTGCGGCCTAAAAGCTCCTAAAAGCCACAGCTCTAAGAATCGATTAAGAAACCTAATTTTCCGACCTCGGTTACCGACGACGACGCTTACGAAATAACACAAAACGCACCCTGAGTTATTGTGCTTTCGTTAGGGATCCTTCTTATGGTGGTAATAGGTCGTTTGGTGTCGGTTTGAGGGTGGTTTGAGGGCTCGTCGGAGAAACTGGACACTCGCCGACGTTTGTCCGAAATCTCTCTCTCTCTCTCTCGAAATTTTCTATCTTTTCTCCTTTTGCAGGTGTTCTGAAGATGCTGGGTGTCGTGGGCTGAGGGCTGGGCGTGCTGTGGCCGTCGTTTCGCGTGGGTTCCGCGAAACTTGGCGGTCGCCGGAAAACTCGCAGGTTTTCCGGCGACTGAGTTTTTAATTTTTTTTTTAAATTTATTTTATTTTTTATTATGTGTATATATATATATTTTTCTTTCTTTCTCGGGTCGTTACAATAACAATTCGCATCATATACCTATCATACCATAAAATATCGTATCATAGTATATCATATCATAGCCATATCAATTTATCACATACATTGTACCATAACATATATCATATCATTTTCCTATCATATCACACATACAAATCCTTATGCACCTCATAGTCGTATTATTTCATGAAAATACTTTAGTCATATAATTTCCCAAACGTATTCTAACCCTATCGTTTTATCATAGTCATATCCTTTTCTATACCTAACCAAAACATATCGTTTTGTCAATCTATCATAATCATATTAGGTGTCTCATTCGTCAGGCATGTTAAATCCGAGTTTCCAACGTCACCGGCATTTTAGTCCAATGAAGGAAGGGTCGTGCGTATTCTTGTCCTTCCTCTTAGAAAATCCCTAGCTTGGAAAGGAAAAAAATAATAACAAAAGCTATCATACCTAAGGCTTTCATCCCAAAACTTCTACCATTCCACTTTTCATGTGTTGTTTAAGATTTTTGGTATAAAACTTCAATTTGGTTCGATTCCTACAATTAAGAGTTAAAATAAACAATTCAATTGGGTAACCAATGCCCAAATAAACTAAACAAACAACTCAAATACGCTCTAACTTACCATGCCTAACAATAATTTATCAATNTTAGGTTTTTTTTTTTTTTTTTTTTTTTTTTTTTTTTTTTTTTTTTTTTGGAAACAACAGGTAAAAACAAATTTATATATTAAAAGAATAAAAGATAATGCCAAAATAAATTAAAGTTGAAAGTAGAAGCCAAATGATATTTAAATCTAATTTAAAAAAGATAAAAAAAAATAACTATTTTTATCAAATTATACTTTGGAAATAATAAAAAAAAAAAAAAAGTTAGTTATATGAAAACTAAATATAAAAAGAATAAGATGAAAGGAGTTAGTTTGGAGTTGAAGTTTGCAATAAGTTTATATTAAATGATATAACATCCCATGAAGCTTCTCATATTGCTATAAACTTGACCGCCGCCTTTTTTTGTTTGACAATTTCTAATTATCCAAAGCACCAAACTTGACCTTTTCAATCAATTTAGAACAGCTCTGCATGCTTAGCTATGGCGACTCATTCCTTTCTATTCTCAACTGTATAAATAACACCCTTCCCATCTTCATTTCTCAAAATCACCTTTCTTCCATCCTTTTCTTTTTAATATCTCAAAATCAAACTCGTTCTTCTCTCCCGATTACAAATGGCGATGCCCCGAGTAGTTGCTTTCGTGTGGTTGCTGCTGTCGCTTTTGGGTATAGCTTGTGATGCCCAACTTTCCTCTACTTTCTACGATCAAACTTGTCCTACTGCCCTCACTACTATTCGAACGGTTATTAGGCAAGCAGTTTCTCAAGAGCGTCGAATGGCCGCCTCTCTCATTCGCCTCCATTTTCATGACTGCTTCGTTCAAGGTTGTGATGCATCCATATTGCTCGATGATACACCCTCTATGATAGGCGAACAAAACGCAGCGCCTAACAGAAACTCTGCAAGAGGATATGGAGTGATACACAAAGCTAAGACTGAAGTTGAGAAGTCATGTCCTGGTGTTGTATCTTGTGCAGATATCCTTGCTGTGGCCGCAAGAGATGCTTCTTTTTCTGTAAGTATTTTTTAATTACGCATGCCAGTTGATTCTATAGTTACATTATTCTAATCTTATATATATTACAACGTAGGTCGGTGGTCCATCTTGGACGGTAAAGCTTGGGAGAAGAGATTCTACTACTGCAAGCAAAACTCTAGCCGAAAGCGAGCTTCCACACTTTCAAGAAAGCCTCGATAGACTTATCTCAATTTTCTCAAACAAAGGACTTAGTGCAAGAGATATGGTAGCACTTTCAGGTACTTGAATCATATATTTCTATTTGTAATTTTTTTTTGCCAGTAAATACTATATTTATTAAACGTATATATTTTAATTTATTGCAGGCTCTCACACCATAGGACAAGCTCAATGCTTTCTTTTCCGCAACAGGATACATAACCAAACTAATATTGACACGGGATTTGCTAGCACTCGTCGTAGAACTTGCCCCACATCTGGAGGGGATGAAAAATTAGCTCCACTTGATTTAGTTACACCAAATTCTTTTGACAATAACTACTTCAAGAATCTTATACAAAAGAAGGGATTGCTTGAAACAGATCAAGCACTCTTTAATGGAGGATCGACAGACAGTATTGTGACGGATTACAGTAAGAATCCAACCGCATTCAAATCGGACTTTGCTACTGCAATGATTAAAATGGGAGACATTGAACCTCTCACCGGTTTAGAAGGGCAAATAAGAAATATTTGTGGTGCAGTCAACTAATTAATAACTTCCATCTCGAAAAAGAATTCATTCATTTGTAATATGATCAATATGATGTGATTGACATGCAAAACGACGAACTAGCATAAAATACAACTCCGACATATTTATGAAAGATGTGATAAATGTTACGACAAATTATATGAGAAATTATATGAAAAATGATATGATAGGAAGGAAAATGCTAGCAGGGTTGTATTAAATGATAATGAAAATTGAAAAATGTTGGGACCTCATGCATTATTGTGTGCTCATGTATTGAGGGATACCTCTTATCATTCACAATAGTACGGACACGTACACTACGAGGCAGGAGAACGATCATTATGTTATCATAATGCTGCTGTGACGGTCGCTATTCCAAATGGTTTCCAACATCAACAACTACCCGAAAATGCGCACCCAACCAAAAAGGAGTCCAGGAGGTGTGTAAACCGACTGGTGAGTCCATCTGGCACTTGTGAACCATGTGTAGGAAAATTAAGTACACATCCAAATTGCCCGTTACTATAGTTGCCGTAGGAAAATAGACTATTATGATACTTACCACCCATGATTGTATATGTTTGCCTTTAAGCCCAATAGTGGGTCACTTATTCGGTATTTCTTAAAATAGTCAACCTAGGTGCTACTTCTACTTCAAGTAAAAGCAAGGCATCCCTGTACGGTTGATGACGTCATTGCAACTCGAGACCATAACACATGAATATGGTAGATTGTATTTATTTTCTTAAACCTAGGCTATAATATGATGTTTTTAATTTTAATGTTTATTTATTTTATTTAGTCATTCATTGTATCGTTTTAAAGATGTATTCGAACACGTAAGTCCATATTAGTGTTTTAAGATGAAATTTATATTTTATGAATAAATTTAAATGAAGTATTTCCTCACTCAATGTTCATGATATGTATACAGTAGCGACTTTAGATTAAGTAAAAAAAATTTAAGGTTGTTAGAGTTATGATATGGTACTGTATACTTCACAATCTTATGCATGTAACGCCCCGTTATATTAAATATATATATTAAAATAATAATAATAATAAAAAAAAAAAGTAACTGACCACCTCTCCATTAATGTCACGACCCGATTTTTGAGGCTTCGAAAAATCGAATCGTGACTAAAAAGATGAAATCGAAAACAAACAAAAAGAAATGAAAAGTGAAGTAAAAGGTAAAAATACTATTTAATTAAAACAATATAGAGAAAAGTTTTGTTTCAAATTAATAAAAAGAAATTACAAATACAAAATTAAAATCAAATATTTCGAACGGGAAATACAAAAGACTCTAAAAGACTGACAAGGGACTGACGCTCCGAAACGACCCCCTCTGTGACCGCACAGCTCTCGAACGCTCATCCACCTCGACCGACACCTGACAAAAAAAAATAGAAAGGAATGAGTATAAAAATTATACTCAGTAAGTCACCTACTCGTAGGCTCTCTTCGCTTCTTAATTTAACAGGTTCCCACGGTTTCCTAATTCGGTTCTAGGACATCTGGTTCTAATCTTAGTCCCTTGGAGCTTGCCCCTTGAGTTTCACCGGTTCATCGTCCTTTCATTAAACACCTAGAGGTTTCTTACGCCAAGCTAATATGATCGATATCTCTCTATGAGGTGCTACCTCTACATGGCTATCTGAGACTACATGGTATCTAGCCTAGTGGTGTGCTGAATACCCCTACGCCCATATAGTCCCCCTATGGGGGGCGTGACCCAACCCGTTCCCATGCAGCTAATGGGCTGTATGACGTGAGGACACATTTCCCATGCGAAATGGCTAAGAGCAGTAAGGACTGATCAGGGACCCTTGGTCCTCCCACGAAGCTATAGATACTGTTCTCACGCTAGCAATCTATGAACATTCCGAGGTACCTTTGATCCGTGGTAAACCGCTAAGTTCCTAGGGGAAAATTAAGTCTGGCTAGAGCGACATATCGCTCCTAACAGTAATCCCCTAAGCTTATCATCGAAATGGTCCCTAGCAATTAACAGAGTGTGCATGCAACCGTCTTCTAACATCATAATATATAATTCATGCAAACTAGTCATATCGGCTCAACCGGGCGATGACCTCCATCAAGCACCCAAAGCACGAAGTTTGCGCTCAATGGGGCGAATTCGTCCATCAAGCACCCGGAACACGGCATACACAATTCCAACATAAATTAAACACATGCATCCATACGGCAGAAGCTTAAAGCATACAGCAACACTCATGTAATTCACCCCATACAATCATAACAATTAATCTGACTAATCTCATTCATGGAGAGCTAATCTAAGGCCAAATTACTAACATGCATACATACAATCCAAGCGAACCCTACAAGTATTTCTTCCTAAATATCGGGTGGTGACTGAAATACCGGGTGGTGACTTACCTAGTTAACGCGTGCCTTTTTGCTAGCGTTTCTTTGCCCATAAGGCATCCAAAAATACTGATTTCTTTATATTAGGTCCCTATTCACGTAAAAACAGTATTAGAACTGGAATCGGGACAAAAATCAGGCAAACAGAGAGCAAATGAGCCAAAATGGCCGTTCCACGCGCGCTCACGCGCCAGCAGTGCGCTGGGAGTGCGAGGGCCACGCGGGCGGGAATGAGCCAGTTGCAGGCCGCACGCGCGCCCTCCTCTACGCAGTCGCGAATCGACCGGTTTTGCAGGCGACACATGTCGTCGCCTCGCTGGAGCTGCGTTGCTCCAGCCGACGGTTGACGCATGTCCGGCGCCTGTCGCCACCCTCCGCCGCTCACCGGCCGACCACTTTTTTTTTTTTTTTCCTTTCTTCTCTGTCCTTTAAAATACGTAACACCGTGTCCACTTTCCGAATTTCATATCTTTTGATTCGTAGTTCGGATCGATATGATTTCTTCGGCAAAGGCTTAGATCTTGTTACGGGCTACGTCCTAGTATTTTTTTTCGTAATTTTTTGCTTGACTACCAGACGAGTTAAGAGCGTCGGAAATTCGCTCACCGTTCTTGGACGATTCTCGAGTTTCTGCCTTCGGATCGAGGTTTCAGCCAAACTTCTTCAAAGATCCTGTAGAGAGTTGTTCCTAAATGAATATATAAGATTTCAGATCTTGATTCACAAAGGAAAACCGTAGATCTGAGAAAACGTTCAAGATCTTACCTCGCTGGTTTTTCTGATTTCTTGATGGAAAATGGGACTTCGGTCACCCACATTCTCTTTTCCCTTCCAAAAAAGGCTCCTTGCATCATGATCTTGATCGGAGTAGACTCCGACGGTAGGTTTCAGTGAGTTGTTTGGCAGTTCATTCTTCCTCCTCTCTCTAGGTTCTCTCTAATCCGTTTCTCTCACTATTTCTCTTTTGCAGGACTTTGGATGGGGTTTCATTTGGACCGGTTAGGTGGTTGGAGGGGCAAATTTACCTATTTGCTCCTCTCTCAACTTTTCCTATTTTTTTTTCTATTTCTCTTCGGGTATTATAATTAATCTCTCCCCCTTCTCTAAAATACCTCTCTTAATTCCCAAACAAAAAAGAGAGGGAAAGAAAAGATTTTTTGGAAATGAGAGAAGTAGATATGGTTAGGCAATAATGGAGAGATGAAGGTTGATAATGGAGAGATGGTTAGCCACAGAGATGTCATTTGACAAGTTTAGTAGTACATTTTCTTAAGTTAGAAATTATTCCTAGCAAAATATGTTGAAGGGACACCAGTAGATACATTTCTAAAGATAGAAAAAGTAGTAATTTGTTCTTCTTCAAGATCTACAGGAATCTGCTGATTCACAGTGATATTTTCTTCTCATGTCCAAGTCTTCTTTTCGTCAAAGATTACATCACGACTTACCACCACCTTCTTTGTCAAAGGATCATAGAGCTTGTACGCCTTAGAAGTCTCGCTTACTCCAAGAAACACACACTTCAAACTCTTGTCCTCAAGTTTCTTCCTTTTCTCATCAGGAATGTGTGCATATGCTATGCACCCAAAGATTCTAAAGTGGTCTACTGCAGGTTTTCTTCCGCTCCATGTTTCTTGTGGAGTCATATCTCTAACAGAAAAAGTAGGGCTCCAGTTGAGAATGTGAATCAACCACACGACAGCTTCTAACCAGAATTCCTTCGGGACTTCTCCTTTATTTAGTAAACTTCGAACCATGTTGAGAATGATCCTGTTTTTCCTTTCGGCCACACCATTTTGTTGTGGTGTATATGTTGTTGTTAATTGCCTCCTTATGCCCTTCTCTTCACAAAATTTAATAAACTCGTTCGAGCAGAACTCTCCTCCTCTGTCAGTTCTTAAAGCCTTGACTCTTCTTCCAGTTTCCGTCTTCATAGTAGCACAAATTTTTTTGAAGCAATCAAAGGCTTCCAATTTGGCGTGCAAGAAATAAGTCTATGTTTTTCGACTAAAATCATCGATGAGGGTCATGAAATATTTCTTGTCACAATTTGATGCTGGAGAGATGGGACCACATATGTCTGAATGAATCAACTCCAAAATTGTTTGACCTCTTCTTGATTTTTCGGATGGAAAAGAATTTCTTTCATGTTTTGCTACTACACAACTCTCACAAATTTCTATTGGAGGAGTAATATCTGGCAACCCAGTTACCATCTTCTTTGAAAACAACGTCTTTAATCCTTTGAAGTGTAGATGACGATACCTAAAATGCCAAAGTCAGGTGGTATCTTCTTTCTTCGCCATCAAACTTTTGGCAACAATATTTAACGTCAACGGATATAGACGGTTGGTGGTCATCTTCATCTTAGCAATCGAACATCTTTTGGAGTCATAAATCTCACATTCATCATTTTGGAATATGATCACATACCCTTTTTCTTGTAACTGACCGATACTAAGTAAGTTGGCCTTCAGATCAGGAATGTAGAATACATTAGAAATAGACTCTACAAAACCATTTCTAGTCTTGATATCTACGGTTTCTTTCCCCATCACTTGGATAGTTGAATTGTTGCCAAGAGAAACCATAGTATGAAAATTTTCATCTAGAGTTGAGAAGAATTCCTTACAACCTGTCATATAGTTGCTGCATCCAGAGTCTACGACCCATACACCTTGATCTGCAACCTTCATAGCATGGAATGACATTAACAATGTTTCTTCTTCTCTTCCCTCCACAAAATTGAATTGATCTCTTTTCTCCTTTTGGAGCCTGGTATAGCATTCATTTTTGTAATGTCCAAGGCGTCCACATCTGTAGCATTGTACTTTAGACTTGTCAAAGTGTCTCTTGCCTTTGTTGTCATAATCGTTTCTGACTAGATCTGCTGACCTGCCAACATCTCCACTTCTTTCTCAACTGCCTCTCCCATGACCTCTGCCTCTTCTTTGCCCTCTACCTCTAGCGCTTGAAGTTTCACCTGGTGTGGATATCTTTAAGGCTGTCATCTCCTCTATTGCACTTGTACGATTGAGTCTCTGTTAATTTACTAACAGGGATCTTTGGAGTTTATCTATTTGCATCTCTTCGACATTGTTTGCTTCTTCGATAGAACATACAATGTAATCAAACTTTGGAGTTAGTGATCGCAAAATCTTTTCTACGACCGCAACATCCGTGATTGAATCACCATGCATCCTCATTTTACTTGCAAGACTCATAACCTTGCCAATATAATCATTCACCGTTTCTCCCTTTTGCATTTGGAGAATTTCAAAGTCTCTTCTAACTGCTTGAAGTTGAGCACGCTTTACTCTCGTTGAGCCTTGATACTTCCTCCTCATAGAATCCCAAATTTTCTTGGATGTCTTCTTCTGAAGCATTGTTTCCAAGATAGTCCTATCAATGGACTGAAATAAATAGTTCTTGACCTTCAGGTCCTTCAACTTCGATGCTGCCAACAGTTGCTGGTGACCAGCTGAGAGTACCTCGCCTTTATTTGGCTCTTCATAACCCGTCTCCACCATATCAAAATACTCCTTTGATCTGAGAAAATTTTCCATCAATATCGCCCAATGATCATAGTGACCATCGAACCTCGGGATGGCGGGCTGAACGTAGCTCTCAACTTATTTTTCTGCTGCCATTCTTGCTGCTGCGAGATCGCTCTGATACCAGTAGTTGGTGACAACAAAAATTGAAGTGAAATTGAGAGGACTGATTTGACTGATTGGAAAGGGAGGTCATTTTATAGGACGGGATTTCATTGCTTCTTGGAGTTGGTTGGGATTTTTGTGGATGAAATTGCTTTCACCTCCTCCCTCTCAGTAGTAACTAAATTTGTTAAACAAATTACTACTTTTTCTATCTTTAGAAATGTATCTACTAGTGTCTCTTCAACAAGCTCAACAAGAAGGACGAGTAGAAGAAGATCATGATCATAATCAAAGAAATCTAAGAACAAGAAAGAGACCAAATTGGATGGTTGATTATGAGATGGACTATGAATCAAGTGATAGTACTTATTTTGCATTCTTTATGGATAGTGATCCAATTGTCTATGAAGAAGCGGTAAAGGAGAAGAAATGGAAGCTATGGACAGTGAAATCAAATCCATAGAGAAGAACAAGACTTGGGAGCTCACTGATCTTCCTAGAGGGCAGAAAACAATCGGAGTAAAATGGGTTTTCAAAACCAAGTTGAATGAAAACGGTGAGGTGGATAAGTACAAGGCGCGACTCGTTGCAAAAGAATACAAGCAGAAGTATGGAGTTGATTATAAGGAGGTATTTGCACCAGTGATACGTCAAGATACTATCAGGCTAATAATTTCTATTGCAGCACAGAAATCTTGGCCTATTTATCAACTTGACGTGAAATCGGCCTTCCTACATGGAGAGCTTCAAGAAGAGGTATATGTGGAGCAACCAGAAGGTTTTGTTCAAAAAGGTAAAGAGGAAAAAGTATACAAGTTGAAGAAAGCTTTGTATGGTTTGAAGCAAGCTCCGAGGGCATGATACAGTCGCATTGATTCTCATTTTGAAAAGATGGGATTCACTAAATACCCGTATGAACATACGTTGTATGTGAAAACTGAAAAGGGAGGTAACATTCTCATTATTTGCTTATACGTTGATGATTTAATATTTACTGGCA